GCGTTTGCACCGGCCAAACGCGAATCCCATTTGTGCCCGCTTGCCCTCGAACTTCTACATCGTATGTGCAAGTCCTGTAGCCGCAGGCGCGTGTCTGCAGTCCTGCCCCGGAGATCGGTCTCGGTGCGCACACATGTTGCTGAACCTGCCCCTTCACTCCCAGTGAAAACGTGCCCGATTCGGGTCGCTTTCGGTCGAATTCGATCGTATGTACTCGTGCAACCCGACATTTTACGACCATCCGGACTATATACGACGGCCGTCGTATTCAGCGGTATCAGGTAGTGTGGAGGATCCGATAGAATACTAATGCTGTCGATTTGGGTCGAAAGCGATCATTTACAGTCGGCCATATTCGGGCTTGTCAATTAGGGCGGCATCCACAGCAGGCACGCCATTGGATAGCATTGGCGACAATTCTGTATTCATTCGTATGGGCTCGGCAATAATACACGGTACAATACAGGTGTAATCAGGCGGAAATGTGTGCAATCGTATACCACCGCGCGCGTTTGGATCTTCTTGGGTGCACCCGATTGGGGTCGGGTCCTCCTGCCCCAGTGCGGACTAGCTACTGCCGCGTGCTTAGGAACGTCGCGCGCCACATACTTGAAGTCGTCCCGGTGTTGGGTGCAGATAGGCAGAATCGGCAGAGGGGAATGCATTGGAAGAGCGACAGCAGAGCCTTGTAGAGCGCAGATAACCAGAGTCGCAACAGAGGAATGGTGCCAGGGATTTGAAGAGCGACAGCAGAGGCTTGTAGAATGCAGACCACCCACTCAGTCGACAGGGCCAGAGCCTACCTCGCGATTCTTGGACGGGAGCAGCTTTGGCATGAAGAGACGATGCGAGATCAAGCTCATCCACGAGAAGACAAAGCCGGGGAGGTACGTGGGTTGTAGCAGGAGGACTAGCTTGAGGACAGACGGGGTTGCATGAGTGGCGATGTGAGGCGAAAACCAGTCTGAGAGTCTGGCAGGTGATTTGAGAGGTAGACAAAAACCGGGGATGCAGGCGTTCGCTACCATGGACTGAAATTGATGTGGTGGGAAGGCAGCGTAGAGGAGGTCGTATGAATCACTTTGCTGCGATGCGGCCGGTGTTCTGTGTGAAGTGTAGTCAGCTTATGTAAAGGGCCACGAGCAAGACAGAAGTACTCTTCTATCGAGGGGGTCATGGACTTGTAATGTTGTTCGAACTCTGCCTGTGATCCGTTGGTGTCCGCGTACCAGTTGCGAGCATACGCCCACCTAACAAGACCCAACTGAGGTTTAAATATCACTGTAAAGCAATGAATAACGTACTTCGCTCCACGCAAATCGGCCGGTGGTGGCCATTGTGGTGTCTTCCGAGGAGCCCGAGGTTTTTTGGTGGTGGTCGGTTGTGCGGTGGTTGGGGGTACTTGCGAGGCATCGAGAGGTGTGCTGGATTCTCCAGTGTTGACGGCGTCCAGGCAGGCTGGGGTGATGGGCTGCATGGTAGGAGCGCCATCAGAGCGCATGCTAAGAGAGTCGAGAGTGAGAAGAGGATGCTTCAGCACGCACATTTTTTATCATGAGGCACAGAACCAGGCATTACCTAAAGCAGCTGCAAACGCCAGGCAGAACCTGGATGGATGAGCTGGGAAGGGAGTGAAAACGACGTCGCATAGTGTATCATCCAGGATTGCATGCGGCCTTCTGTCCAGCAGATTGTGAGTAACGTCTCTGTGTTGTAGGCTTCACATACAAGAAGGGCAGGCGCATACACCTGAGATAATGTCGCAACGGCGACAGCACCATACACGAAACTCACCTTGTAATCATCCTCTCAACCACCACACACCTTTGTAGCTTTTCCAAACTCCAACATACCTTCATGACGCTGTAGAAGGGTGTGTGTGCACTACAATTGACGAAGCGAGGGGTGCATACCATACTGGCAGGAGAAGAGAGTTGGGGAACAAGGGGACAGCGGTGGTCTGCCGCAAGCAGCGACTCCACCGCAATGATGTCATCATGTTTAGGGCAGGCCTACACCGTCAGAGAACAGAGACTTCGCGTCTCTGGACCTTGCAGTATTGTAGGCAATCACAATAGAGTTGTTTTGGAGGTAGCATCATGACATGGTCCCTTAGTGAGAAAAATGGCACATGGATTGTAGATCGCTGGCTCAGTTGTGTGATGGGAGCAAGCACCAATAGGAAGCAGAAATCTTACATGGCGGAGAGAGATTGGAGCATGCAACACTAGAGACAAGCACAAGCTAAGCTAAGACACTAAGGAGCGGCAAGCTAAGGCAGTACGGAGTGACAAAGTTAAGGCATTATGGAGCGACAGCTATAGAGATACCGGCAGACGTCATGTCCTTAGAGACATGTGTGTCCGAATTCACAAACATTAGATGGGCGCTAAACGCTGCCGTCCGACCTAAATCGACACAACGCGAGGATTTACAGTGGGCACGACCTCGCACAACCCTAATCGAACTGAATCAAGCACGTTTTCACTGGGCTTCACTCCTGACGGCATGTGTCTATGGTGATCTCCGCCTACTATGCGCAGATCCAGAGGTGCAAATGTCTAGCATTGGGTTCAAGACGCCGCTAAGCGAGTTGTTCTCCCTCCGACAGCAGGATGGTGTCTTATGTAGAAACCGGGTATATCAAAGGGCACTCTTCATAGGATAACAGAGCAGCAATCTAGCCCCAGCACTCGAATGCGCGATCTTTCGTACGACATGCTACTAATAGTACAGACGTCAAGTACTAGCGATCGAGGATACACAGAACGAGCGAATCAGGCAAATCATGATCATGAACGTCCGAGTGGTAGGTCTTCCGCGTAAGTGTAGTACAGGTAGTGAGCACCAACCGAACGAAGTCCGGCATCGAGACATTAGGGGTAGTCAAAGATGGCGGTTCGGTGGACGATTCGAGGGAACAATTCGGGAGACGATTCGAGAAGGAGGGAATCCGCGATTCTGGCAGAATCGCGTCGAATTGCCGGTGCGAGTCTGGAGGAGCACCGCCCACCCGAATCGCGATTCTCTGTACTCGATTCCCTCAGTCCGACCTCGGATAAGCCCTCTTAAAATAGGACATATGTCAAATTATTATTGGGGTTTGTCTTAGCACGTCTTACGAGCGACCCTACTTGAAGCTGGCGGCTTCTCTACTTTAATCAGAATCACTGGTGTACAGATTCCCTCCACCTTCAAATGTCCAACCAGACCAAAACCCTTCCTTTCAGAAAGTCCGGCCGTCTCACCTGGCAACCTGCTGCTGGCTCTGGAACAAAGACCGGGAATTGAGTGCGCCGTGTCTTGGTAAACTGAATATATTCGCTATGCGGGCCTGAGAGCTGTAACAAGGCATAGTAGGGGGAAGAACAACGCGGCACACGTCGAGATACCATCGCGCGAGGATGCATAGATTACCTAATTCTGATATCACAGACGCCCGAAGGCCTGACCGACTCAAGAATCTATCC